CAATGAGGAACCCACGTGGCATGCCAAGCAAGATAATCGGAGCCTGACGTGTCTATCCAAACGATTATTCCGGGACCGGGAATTTGAGAGGTATTCAGGTGCACGAGCGTCTACTATATCTGCTGTGCCACTCATCATGAGGAATCAGGTGCAGGCATGCTTATTGTTGTTATCATACAGCTATTTGAGCGGGAAGCTTTGGATTCATTTCTCACTTCGGTCATAAAGGGATTACTGTAGCAGTCCGAGTCTTGGCACCTCGGACCTGTCCTTACAGTATTTTTAAAATTTATAATAAAATAAATAAAAAATTAACTTATAAGAAATTATAGTTTTTTCATAAATTATAGTATTTGACATAATTGAAGTTTTTGGAGTTTAAAAAGATTTTTCATCAATCCTACTAAACATAATCATAGTCTTTTTTTTTTTTTTTGAAAAAAAAAAGAAAAATTAGAGCATTTTAACATTAAAAATATCAATATTTATAGCGTTAGACATTTTGATACTTTTAGAGTATGTATTAATTTGCAGTGAGGTGAAGAGAAAAATATTTTAAGGGGAGAGTAAGAAATTATTTACTTTATTTTTTCATTTTTTTCTAAATAAAAAGATGAGAAAAATAACACCTTTCCATTCTCAAATTAAATATATCCTTCATTTTTTTTTATCTTAATTGGATAATAGAAATTAACTCTTTACTCCATCTCACTTTACTCTACATATATATTATATATTATGTGACTTAAATTTAAAATTTTTTATTTTTAATAGAAAAAATTACCACTAAATGAGCGATTCTTCATTTTCTTATTTTTATAGTTAATTAATTAATTAATTAATGGATTAGGCTTCCGTTAAGTCCTGAGTCTTAACGAGTTACGGGTTCAAAGTTTTTTTTTTGGGCCAACTAAGGAGTTCAAACTTAAAGCTTACTCAGGCCCATTACAATTACAATAATTCACACCCAAAAGCACTCAGTCCTTACTTGTGAAGCTAGATGGAATGGACAGGCCCATCAAATATTCAACCAGATTGTGGCAATGGCTATCAATCTGTTTTTTGTTGAGATTGTTAAAATTGATTTAAAAAATATTAATTTTATTTAATTTGATTGTTAAAAATAATTAAAAATTAATAGGATAATTAATATTTATTATTTAATAAATTAAAATTAATTTATAAATTAATATTTTCATATATTATAACTATTTTTTAAAACTACAAATATCAATCAAATTAAATACAATTCTAGTAATTTTAACAAAAGAATGAGTGGCCATAACCATGCTTTATTTAACCGAAGACTACTTTTTTTTTAACAGTGAGTGAAAATAGTAATGCAACACTTTGAAGCAAAGCAAAATTAGAAAGAACCTTTGATTAGTGCATTTAGATTCTTAGTCACTATGTAGAAAATAATGTCTTATGAATCTCCTGATTTTGCATAAATAGAGTACTGATCAAAGATTCAAATCCTTTCATCTATTAAGAATTTGTTCTTAAATTTTGAAAACGCCTAAATTGTCTACCCAATTTAGTATTCAATTGCATCAAGTAGTATACAGGCAATTTAGGCAACGTTTGGGGTTGCTTTTCAACCAATTCTTTTTTTTTTTTTACACAATACTTTAT